AATAAATAAACGTTGAAAAAAAAAAATTTTAAAAAAAAGAAAATCCCTAACTTCTTGGTCGTAGGTGCTTTTGGTGCCCTGGGCTCACCTCTAATTTCAGAGCAGCGGGGTAGACGGTCCTCGAGCACACCGGCAGGGTCCTGTCCCCAGTGCTCTCCTTGCCACCCACTGTGCTGCCCCAGGACTTTCTCAGACATGGTCAGCCCAGGGCAGCCCGAAAGGGTGGGAAGTTACTGCCCTTGGGGGCAGTCGTCAACCACTGGGGCATGAGAATTGGCTGATCCTTGAAAGATGGTTCCATGTGGCTCCTCAAAGGGTCTCCAGGGAGGTGCGGACCACCCACCCATGCACGTGAGCTGCCCCGTAAGCAGCCAGCTCAGGAACACGGACCCCACCCGCTTTTTCCTCCTTTCCACCTCTCCCCACTGGCTCCCGGCGACCTCCCGGATCCCCTGCCGGGCGGCTCCTGTAGCCGCCTCTGCCGTCAGGTACTGGCCGTGTGCGTGCGGCTGGGCCACTCACCAGTGTGGTGACCGAGAGGGCGCCCGCCGGTGGGGTGTGGGGTGGTGATCACCGGCCCGCAGAGCCCTCACCGTTACGGGTTCCGAGCCAACTGCAGCGAGCTGTGAAAGCCAGGAGGCCCACGCATCTCAAGGAGCCCTGCTGCCTCCAGCCACAGGGCAGATGGTGCAGAAAATTGGGCCCAAGATGCAATCATAAGGGTGACAGATCCCAGAGAAGAATGACAAGGGGCCTTGCCGATCTCCTGTGCCAAGATCAGGGCCCTGATGGGAAGGCGTAGGACCTGAGGCGGGTTTGCAGTGGTTACGCGCGAACCCACCTGGGAACCCTGTGTCCCTGTCTCACGTCCTGCTTGTCGGAGGGGTCCCAGAGAACACCTCATCTCAGGGGGATGCCTGGCAAAGTGATGCTTGCATTAGTTCCCCAACGCTGCTCTAACAAAAGACCATAGACTGTGGGGCTTGAACTTCACCGTCTCGCAGTCTGGAGGCCAGAAGCCTGAGACCAAGGCGCCAGTAGACTGGTCTTCCTGGAGGCTCCTGGGGGAGGGGGCGGGGGCTGTGCCTTGCCCCTCCCCCAGCTTCCTGTGTGGCCGGCAGGCCTCAGTGACCCTTGGCTTATAGACACGTCAGTCCAACCTCTGCCTCTGTCTTCACACAGCCCTTCCTCTCTGCGTGTCTCTGTGTCTCCCATATAAGGACACCAGTGGTTGGATTTAGGACCCCCCCCAACCCAGTTTGACCTCCTCTTTACCTGCATCCTGGTTACATCTTCAGAGACCCTACTTCCAAATAGCATCACACTCACAGGTACCAGGGGGGAGGACTTAACAAACCCCGTCCAGGTAGAAGGTACGGCTGTCAATGCCAACCTCAAAGACACCCCCCCATATTCCCATTCAGTTCACCGGTGTCGGCTCTGAACAGACCAGGAGGAGGGCAGCAGTGGCTCCAGCTGCCGTGGTGCTGGGGACGGTGTCTGCCCAGCGCGTCCCTCGCCGCTGGGGCGCAGATTGAGCTGCCGAGGGTCTTCTCCGCCTCCGCCGACGAGGACCGAACATTGTGGCCCTTGCGCAGGCCGGGCAGCCGTCCACAGCCACCGTCCCGCTCTCCGGCTACGCTAGCTCTCCCGCACTGTTACAATATGGTGCACGGGGGTCTCCAACAGCGCACATCTGAGCACCTTCTCCGGGGTCCACCTTACCGAGGATATTCTGTTCGTCGGACCTGGTGCCCAGGAAGTGGCCAGGACTCTGTGTGTCCTACTGAGACGCCTGCTTGCCAGAAGACAGAGAAATACTACAGGGACTCGGCAGGGGAGAGGATGACCCTCAGTTCCAGCCTCAGGAACACCTGTAGCCGCGGGCGCGGACGATGGCTCCTTCCGCTCAGCTGGGTCGCCGCTCACTGCTGTTGCTGCTGTGACAGCCACCACCCTGAAGAGCCGGAGGTGCCCTGAGCAGACGTGAGTCCCCACTGCTGTGCGTCAGCCCCTGCCCTGCATCGACCGCAAGCGGCAGCCCTTCTAGTGCTTTCCGGGGGAGGGGGCAGGGCGGGCCTGGGCTTGCAGGCCAGTGGCCCTGGGGCAGGAGGTGGCCCTCATGCTTCAGAAGGACAATTCACAGAACATTCCACATGTTGGGCGGGGGCTCCCAGTGGGGCAGGGACCTGAGTGCTTCGGGCTGGAGCACCTGGCCAGCTTTCCTGCTTCCTCCTTTCCGGCCTCTGGGACATCACCGCCCCCCCCCCC